GAGCCTAATCCTCTTGCTATGAAGACCAGCCAAAAAGTTGACTCTTTCTCCCCACGTCTGCCCTCAGGAAACCTCACATTTATTGTTTGACGATTCCAGGAAGTGGCCTTCATCTCCAAGGGGAAAGAGTAATTAAGAAGATTTAAGGTTCTAGAACAGGCATGGCCAACATACGGCCCGTGTAATGGATTTATGTGGCCCGCGATTAATTTTTCAATATTAGCTACTCAAGTCAGAATAGATCGGTGAAAAATTCTAACGCCTAAAAGAAAAAACAAAAAGGTCAACAACTCGCTTTCCGGTTAGAGTTAAGATCGTAAATGACGTCATAAATGTCAGAATACCGAATATCTCACACTAAAGTGACCGGCATAATAAACGACCTTTGAACTTTCACAACAAACGCCGCTGGCGTTTGTTGTGAAAGTTCAAAGGTCGTTTTAAGTTTCTTTTTCGTTACAACGGTTCTTGTGGAACGAATGAATAACTCAGGAAAAGTTTATAGTTTTTTGGTATCGTTAACGTAATTCCAACAATAAGACAGAAGTTTAAATAATTAATAACATTAATATGTAGGAGTGTTTTTCAATTTTTTTTTATCTCACCTCACGGCATACTTAAACCCATAATTAAATGTCTACGGGAAAAGTCACGTGATTTAAAGTTGTTTGTAAACATTATCGCCATATTACTTGTCACCTAAGCTAATTCTTTTTGACTATATTTTTTGTGAATTAAATATAACAGGTTATAACAATAGTTAATTTTCATTTACATAAAAGCAATTAGCATTAAGTCTTAATTTGCATTTAAAAGTGGCGCGATAATTGGCTTTAGAAACTTGCCCAATATCCCGCTATTTCTAAGTTAAAATAATTTGAATTAAATATGGACAATTTTAGATAATTTTCTTTAAAATCAAAAATGTTCATTTTAAATGAAATAACCTGGTGTTATGCATATAATTTTGCTAATGAATATATATTTTTTACTACCGTGTTTCCCCGAAAATAAGGCATCCGCAGAAAATAAGACCTAGCACAGATTTTGCTGAATTGCGAAATATAAGACCTCCTCCTGAAAGTAAGACCTAGCGAAGTTTTTTTTTAGTCGTAACGGTCATCGACAGATGGTTGAAAGTGGCCGTTGGCTTTTTGAAAGTACAGCCACTGATTGGTCAGCAGACAATTACGCCACACGGCATGATTTGCATAAGACTATGGCTTAAGAATCACAGATTTGCAGAACGTTACGGCTGGTGATGGCTAATTGGTCGGCCGGGAATCATGCCACATGACATTTGCATAGTGCTACGGTTCAGTAAGCACTAATTGGTCATCGAGTTCGATGTTGACGCTATAAAAAGGCGACAGTTCAACACACCGGATATACGTCACTCTCGTCTAAGTTCGACTTAGGCATTTTTTTGTTCAATAATAAATGTGAATTCTTCTTCCTGGAAAAAATAAGAATTCCCTGAAAATAAGACCTAGCGCATTTTTCAGAGCAAAAATTAATATAAGACACTGTCTTATTTTCGGGGAAACACGGTATATTACGTATACGTTTATTTATTGTAAGAATGAAACACTCTTATAATCTATTTAAAGAGGTTTTAATTTTGACACACACACTTATTGTTCTTTAGGTTTATTTCGAAGATAATTTCTTTAATAACTTCCAAAAATTTTCGCGGCAAGCCGGTTGAAAATCACTTATCACTTGTGTAGACGATTGTGTCTAAAGCCAAAGACCCAAGACAAGGCCTCAGACTGTCATGGCGGTCTAAAAAGTGCACAGTGGACAGATTGTTGGGTGCTGACTTATGGTAACTATTTCTGGCGGAATTGCTATTTATTTGGTCTTGGGTTTGCGATAACAGGAATGCACCGAGTTGCAGTGCAGTTGATTGTACGGCAAGGTATAAAAAAGGACTCGGTATCACGTTTCATATGCAAGTTAGATATAGACCTAATTGCTATGATATTATCGTCGGTTGGAGATCAAAATCTCGTAACTCCTCCTTGAGAAATTTTTCTTGAAAAACATTAAACTTCCTTTAGAAGTCCGTTATTACTCTAAGTTGATTATTTTTTTTTTTATTTGTGTATTGAACTAAGTTTGACATGGGACCTACGAGAATTTTATAGATCACGGGAAACGTGTTTCGTTATTTACTAATTCTGTAATTCAAATATGAGCAAATATTGGAGTTACGAGGTTTTGATCGCCGACCGATGATATGGAATCCTTTTTCGTACGTAAAACGATCACACGACAATATTTTGTTGAAAATGTTTCCTAAAAGCAAGTAATACTTCGGTCGGTAGTTGACAGAGCGATACGCCATGACAAATGGAAGTCGAGCAATAGTAGTGTTCGTTATAGTCAGCACTTTGAACATGACTGTTTCTACACACAGAACGGATACACCTATTTTCATAAAACATTGGTTCCTACAAAGTTTGATTTTCTTCAGCTCTATAGAGAGAGCCAGTAGTGCCACAGAGACAACTAATGCGAAATATCTTTGGCTAACATAGATGGATGATACCTATGATGAGCGGAGTACGCAGAAGCAAGATGAAGCTCAAATGCTTGACCCACCACATCTGATAATCAGGCTCATCATGGTGTTTCTTTGAGACAAATGTACACCAAACTTGTTCATTTTAAAGGTCAATAAATTACATTTATTGTTGGGTTACTGCATTTGAAAATATTCATAAGAGACTCCATAAATTACGTCCGAATTTTTCTTGAAATTTTTACTCCGGGCGGTCAGGCTGCCACCTTGACCTCCCAGCCATCCAGCCAATAGTTATATGTCGTTGTAACTGACGTACTTTATTAATCAAACGAAATACGGCTATGTATGCAGAACGCTATTTTCTTTAATTAATAATAACATAAATAAACTGAAGGTAAACAGCCAAGTGTCAGGTAAGAAAGAACCTCAGGTTGTCAGGTTTTATAAAAAATAAAGCAAAATTCCTCGAAATGTAGTCTAAATTATTTTTAGAATAGCCCAAAAAATAGTAAGTTGCCCAAATCTAGTAACCTAGAGCCATACAAATATCTCAATCTGCTACTTGTAGCCCAATCTTGCAATCCCGAAACCCAATCATATTTTATGAGATAAGAGAAAAAAAGGATATTTCATGGATAAGGTTATATCCGAAAATTACTACTGTAAAAGCAAAGCCATATTGATCAAATTAAAGTTTTTCTAGGTCTATATCTAAGTTGTTCTCTTATAGTACTTCGATCTAAACCAATGATTCCCAAAGTGGTCTATACCGACCCCTAGAAGTCCGAACTGCAAGGAGTCCATGTCAGCGAAAGCAAAAGTTGGGGGTGCATGAGATGTAAATGGGGGTCTACGAGAATGGATCCCATTTAAACAAGTCTTGACCGAAATTTTGGCTTTCCATAAATGGAATAATTCACATAACACAAATAGTACCTATGTACTGTACATACTTGCATAATACTTTCTTATTATAGACATATAAATTACCTATGAAGTAAAATTTTTTAAAACGTAAATGTTTATGAACATTTGGAGCTAGATTTGGGGAACTTTATCATTCCATGCTTTAATCATAGGAAAATTCGAGATCGATGATGGGATTATTTTCTGTCGATGGGTCAAACTAACAACTTAATTGCTTTGAATTTTAATTAATGCTAATTGTTAGAATATTCTCTTGAGTTCAGCCAACCTATTTCGTTTTACTTATAAAATTATTGTTATACTTTTGTTTTTGTTTTTTTGTTTTTTTTCGTGGTTTTAGGCCCCTTACCGCTCAGAGAGCACAAAGAGGCCAGTTATACTTTTGTTATTGAAATATAAGTTATTATTTTCTTATATATCAAACTGTTTAAGAATTATTAAAAATTTCATAGTAAATAATTATTTTATTTACTACACTCAATTAAATATTAATTAAGTATATTTCATAAAATTGTGCAAGTAGGCTACTCACTTTGTGGTCGCAACACTTGTCACTTGTAAAAACTTGCACATTTGATACTATTATCAATATGTTGCGCGCATACGTGAAGTAGCAACGCTTGTCCAGACTTTTACCAGAGCTTTGCGAGGACGGCGTAGACTCGTACCAATTGTACTTGTACTGACTTGTTTAATTCGTCAATTATAAGTACGAATGTCAGAGACAAACACTGTTCATTTGATTTCGGAATTTTGAAAAGAAAAGTGTTAAAATTCTTCTCGCCTTGTGGGCACTAAGAAAGCTTCTTTTAGCAAGCCCATTATGAGTTCAGTCAGGCCCACAATGGGGGTCAGGTGGTGAGGGATGAGAGCTGATATATCTGGTCAGACCACTCCCCAGGAATTTTTCGACCCGTACAGATTCGATCCCGAGTCCCCATAGCGGTAGGCTATCACCTTAATCGCTCGGCCATCCGACCGTCACCAGAAAAAGAGGGTCACTGGATAGGATCCGAATATGGATCCTTTGTAGCAGTAGACTTTATTTTATTAAAACTCCACTTGTCTCTTTCATTTCTCGTTCTTTTTGTATTTTGGACACTCAGAGGCCTATTTAGCCATATATATGTCTATGGCCAGATAGCCGAAGCAGTTAAAGCGTCAGTCGACTATTCTGGAGACCCCAGTGTGAGCAATTCTAATTTTTGAGTTTGAAGAGAAATTTTGATAAGAAATTTTTTGGGTGATAAGTCCCCGTCTATTCACACTTGACACTCTTATTGTAGGCTTGGCCGAACTCATAATGGGTATGATTCAAAAGATTTTTCCAGTGCCCACAGGGTGAAAAGAATAAAAAGAAAATCATTATATGTATATTTATATAATAAATACATTTATTTTCATGAAATTATTAAATTTTAAAATATTATTAAATATTTAAAGTTAGGCATTTTGCACATAAAAACAAATTAGGAAAAAAAATTAAATAAATAATAAGTCATAATCTCGACCACCTTTAACTAGACGAAGAGCAAGCAATAGATCTGGCAACACTTAGTTGTACGTTTTCATAGCGGAAAGATGTTTGAGGAAACGCGCGTGACGAGGAACGTGGTTTCGAAGACAAAGACACTTCAAGTCTCAAGAATTCCACCAGACGTTGATGAAGAAGATCTGAAAGTTTTATTTTCGTCTTACGGTAATGTGGTGCGTGTTTATCGTGGTTTCTCGAAGGATGTATTAAACTTACATTACGGTTTTATTGAGTTTTCGACTGTGGAAGAAGCAGAATGTGCGTTAGAGGAACTGAATGACGAACCACCATACTATTTGTCTGTTGAGTTTGCAAAATATACGAAGCCTAAAAAAGAAGGGCAAAATTTTAAAATGAGAGGTGCATCAAGCATACGAGTTACCACAAGTGGTAACAGAAGAGAAGTTGTTTTATATGATCAGTATTCAGAGCGAGACACGTATCAATATAACGAAAATGTATTTAATCGTTCTAAAGACTATCGTTTTACCACTAGAGAGAACTTTTCTGATGATATAATTGCCAACAAAGCCTATAAGAATAATGGTTTGTGCAATATGACAGACGATGATAGTTTACTTCCAACTCCTGCACCTTACTTTAGATTCGATAAAAGACCGTTTGATTGTGCTCGTACACATTGTCATGGTCATGGATTTTGTTCGCATTGCTGCCACAGCATGCATTCGTCTAGTGATCTTTCTGCAAAGCAAAGACAGTATTGTATGCGTCAACATTCTTGTTTTACAAGTAATCAAATGTTAGGAGTTGAATGCAGAAACGAGATGCAAAGACCGAAATATCAGAAAGAAATGATTCAGAATAAAAATATTCCATTGTTTTCAGAAAGGAATTCACTGCCAATTCACACTTCTGGTTTAGATTATCAGTCTAGGAAACATTCTGAATATAAATTATGTAAAATTTCATATGAAGAAAAACTTAAAGCAGCAGCTGAAAATTATCAAGTAGGATCTTTATTACAGAAAGGTAAAGGGAATGAGAATGTTTTCTGGATACCGAGAAATTTAAAAAAATATCAATACGAACAAAACAAAATGCCACATAATGTAGAAGTTAAACAACAATATATTTCTAGTGAAAATAGGGAAAATGCTGATCAAAAACAATTTAGAGCTTATTATCAAGAAAATCCATTTCATAAAAACAAAGAAAAGTATAATGAAAGAAACAGTGATATAAATAATAGAAATCAAAATCAAATGAGGAATGATCATTTTAGAAAGAAACAAGTAAATGAAGATAGTGGACATAACAGAAGGAAAGAAAATGAAGCAAGCCTAAAGAAAGCTAACTTCCAAAAACAAGATTTGGATTTTAAAGAAGGATCTTCATCAGAATCTGTAAGATTACTAAATCATATGGAGAATAACAATCTTAAAATAAATAACACAGGATTTCAGAGTCTTAATATTAATACTGAAATACCAATATATTTATGTTACGCTAATAATCCTGATGAACTTTGGATTCATAAATTACCTGAAACTAATCTTGAAGAGTTATCAAAGGAATTACAGATGTACTGTGAACAATCTGAAGTTTACTTGCCAGAAGTTGGAGAAATCTGTGGTGGTCTTTATTCTGTAGATAACACTTGGTATCGAGCTAGAATTGAAGGAATTGATGATAAAGGCTTATGTGATGCTTATTTTGTTGACTATGGAAATAGTGAAATTTTATCTAAATACCATATTAGACAATTAAAAAATGATTTTTTAAAATTGCCTTTTCAAGCAATACCATGCAAATTGGTTGGTGTTAAACCTGTAGGAAATAATTGGTCTGATGAAGCATCAAAAATGATTTTATCCACAATTTATTCAAAAGCTAAAATTATTAGGAAATTGAAAAACAAATATGAAGTAGAGTTAATTAATTGTAAAGGAGAATCAATGAGTGATTTACTGATAAAACATAAATATGCAAAGCCAGATAACAATATGATAGTTAACAACTTAAGCGTGAAGTCAGATAAATGTATGATTTTGAATAACAATGAAAATGTATCAAAAATTAATCTGTCAGAAAAAACAAAGCATAATTTTGGCATACCGTCTGTTATTGAGAAGTTACCATTGGATATAAGATTAGAAGCCACAGTTGTATTCAAATCCAAGGATGGTAGTGATTTCTGGATTCACCCTATGGTGATAGAAGTATATGAAAATTTTAAAAAATTGACAGTTCTCAATGATTATGGAAATAATTATATTGAAAATTACAGACCAAAAGTTAATGAAGTGGTTGTTGCCCAGTCTCCAGTAGATGAAATGTGGTATCGTGCATTTGTAATAAGCAAGAATAATGATGAATATTTTGTATATTATTTGGATTATGGAAACAAAGAACATGTAAAAAAAGTTGCTCCTGTTTTACCAGGCTATGAGAATCTTCCTTCTTGTATTATCCATTGTTTTGCAAAAGATTCGTGTTCTAAAAAACTATACACAGAAAGTATTGTTGCAGATGCCTGTCTTTCTGGGAAACTTCTCTCTCTCAATGAAGATAAAGTTGATATTGAATTTGTGTTTGAGAATGAAAGTGTATATGTATCAGGCTATCCTTGGTATTATGATTTGGAAATAGATGATGTGAATACTTTTAATTCTTCCACTGTAGATATTGAACAGTCTTTTAACACAATATCAAAAGATGTGAATAATGAAGGTTCAGAATTTATTATTCCTTCTGGAATTGAAGTGTTTAAACCTGGAATTACATTGAAATTGCAAGTAGTCTATAATGTTACAAATAAAGACTTTTGGGTGCAGGCAGTTACAAAAGAAGCAGGTGATGTTTTGACAAAATTAGTACAATTGAATGAACAAACAAATCACTGTGATGATTGCAGCACTGAATTAGAGTTAGATAAAGTTGTTATTGCTCGATCTGCTGAAGATGGATGTTGGTACCGAGCTTATGTTACTGGAAGAAGCTCAGGTGGGTATTATGTTCGATTTGTAGATTATGGAAATGAAGAAGAAGTGACAAAGATTTTGCCTATTCCATTAAACAATTCCTTATTACCATCTTATGCATTTCATTGTATTATTACACAGCAATTATCAGAAGAAGAAGAAAGAATCTTTAATGAATATTTTGCAAGCAAATTGCTTGATGTTAATGTTTTATTCTGTGATGATGAAAAAATTCACATGGATATTGTTTTAGAAAATTGTTGTATATTACTTTTTGGATATCCATGGTATCATAATTTGAAAGTAAATAAGTCACTTAATGAAACAGCTGATAGCATGATTGTAAATGATGATATTAATGAAAAGAATGAATACTCATTAAGAAAAGAAAATCAAGGATTTAATAAAATACCATCAGCAATTGAAACTGTTAAGGTAGGAAGTGAGCTACATTTAATTGTATCAGTTTGCTATGGCAATGTATTTTCAGCATTGATAAGCGAAATAAGTTTATTTGAAAAGATAGCTAATTTAGAAGAATGTCTTCATCTTAAAAATTCTTGTAGTTTACAGCCTGAGTTTAAAATAGGTGATCTAGTAACTGCATTATCACCAACAGATAATTTTTGGTATAGAGCTTGTATTGTGAAGTCCTTTGATGATTCTTATTTGGTATGCTTTGTTGACTATGGTAAACATGAAATAGTAAAAAATATTGGTTATTTAGAAGAGAAATGTTGTTCACTGCCTTCACCTGCAATTTATTGTAATATGAATGCTGTGTCTGCTGAAGTAAAAAGTAATTTAAAGAAACTAATATTACCAAATGAAGAAATTATGGTTATATTAAAAGAAAGAATAGACGACAATATCTATTTAGAACTGATTGATTCTAATAGTAATGAAAGTATTTGTCAAATCATTGCATTTCCATGGAATTATGGACTAAGTGAAAATTTAAACCATTCTCCTGAGTTAATATTTAGAAATGATCATCCTAAAGTAAATGATGATAAACGGAAAACAGAAAACTCCTTAGAATCAAGTAAAACAGAAGGTAAAATGATAGAATATACAAAAACTGAGAATTATAAGAATAATGATTGTGAAAATTCAGTCCTTCAAACTGTAACTCCAGTTAAAATATACAATGAACAAACATCAGCAGAAACTACAGTTATCACTAATAATGTAGAAGTAAAGCAAAATTATATTACAGCAAAAGTAGCTTCTATTTTGAAAACATTACTTCCAGATAAACTGATTCATATTAATATTGTTGTAACATTCCCAGATAAATTAGATTTTTGGGCACTTATTTTAGATCAGGATATATTTACATCACTAACTGAAATGGAAGGTTCACTTAAAGTAATGCAATCAAATAATAATTTTAATCCTAATATTGGAGATATTATTGCTGCTGAATCTATTGCTGATCATGCATGGTATCGTGCATGTGTTTTAGGTAAAAAAGATGATAAAGTAAAAGTTAGATACATTGATTATGGCAATGAAGAATATGTGACAACTTACAAACCTATACATGATGAACAACTAAATGTAATTTCTCCAGTAATGTATTGTATGATCATCCAAGACTCTAAATTTGTTGATACAGATAAATTAAAGGAACTATTAGTTGTTTCTCAAAGTCTTTTAGCTAAAATCAGTCAAAGAAATTCTGAAGAAGTTTATTTGACTTTATTAACTGAAGAAAGTGAACCAATATGTGACATTAAAGCATTACCTTGGTATCATAATCTTACATTTTTAAAACCATGTTCTGCAGCATCTTATGAAAATAGTCTAAAAACTAACACATCATCAGGCCACATAAATGATTCTTTACAAATTCCAGCAATTAAAATGTATGAAGATATGAAAAAATTAGTTTTATCTGATTTTCATAATTATGAAGTTAAAGTAGTTTCAGTAGAAAGTTATGAAAAGTTATTTGTTCAGCCTATCAAATTTGAAGAAGAAATTGCTGAATTAATAAGTGAAATTACACAATATTGTGAAAAATTACCTAATAAACCTTATGATCCAAAAATAAATGAGATGGTATGTGCAAAATTTAGTGAAGACAATTTATGGTACAGAGGTTGGGTAATAAAATCTTTATCATCATTAAATTATCTTATACAATTTGTAGACTTTGGTAATGAAGAAAGTGTTGAATCCAAGTGTTTAATGCCTCTACCTGACCAATTTGCAAGCAAGCCTATTTGTAGTATCCAAGTGACAGTTTATAATCTTCCATCATTACTAGATATTTCAAAACTGTATGAACAGCTATGGAAAATGAAGATAGTAAATAGTCAAGACAATATTGTTGAATTATTAGATTTAGATTCAAATAATGAGCAGTTAAATGCACAGAACAATAATGTTAAAACTGAAATATGTGACAGTTCAAGCAAGGTCACAGAAATTTTTCTGTATGACAATTGCGAATTTGTAAATTTGCCACTAGGTACAGTTGAAATTATAATAACTAGCATTATTTCACCAGAAACTATCTTTTGTAATTTTGTAGATGTTAACAATATGTCTGCCTTGAATAAATTAAATGAGGATATAAATTTATATTGTAGCAATAATGCATTTGAGAACTACCATCCTAAATGTGGAGAACTGTGTTTAGCAAAATATTCTGTTGACAATCTGTGGTATAGAGCAGTTCCTTTGGTAGTTGATGAAAAATTGCAATTATTGTTTGTGGATTATGGAAATATTGAAATTGTTAATTATGAAGACACAAGAAGAATGACATTGCAATTTACAAAGATTCCAGTGCAAGCAATACACTGTAAGTTATCAGGATTAGCAGAACAGACTTGGAGTATTGATGTCATTAACGAATTGTTGAAAATATTACCTCAACAGTGTCTTATCACTGTACAAGTTCTTGATAAAATTATTTTAAATAATATGTTTATATATGTGATAGATATTCCTAGTGCAAGAGAGCACTTACTAAAGACTGGTCTTGTCAAGCCACAAGCTGAAGACTAAAGATTTTATTTTTGTTTTTAACATTAATTTTTGCATTTTAGTTTAAATGAAACATATTTTGTTGAAATTAATAATTTACTAACAATACTTGTAGTTACAGTAATATAAATTAAATATTGTGATTGTATAAAATACTTATTGCATCAGATATGTTAAAGAATGAAAAATATTTAAAGTAATTATTTGTGATTTTACGACTTGGTAAAACTTCTTACCTTATTATTAATCTAACAATTGCATGTTCTTTGTATTTTTTTTAGTTCATTTTGTACCTGTTATTACAATATCAACGTTATTACTTTATTTTATACTTTCTGTAGCAATTATTTGAAATGTTTCTTAAGAATATCTTAATAAATTTGAGGCTGAATTTGCCGTTTCAATTTATTTCTCTAATATTAATTATATACTTCAACAGTGTATTGACTTGAGAGTTCAAAATGATATAAATTGCTTACATTGGAAAAAGTACCTGGAAAATGTAAATTTGATCATTTGTTTACTAAATATGTGGTGAAATCTTTGAAAAACCGTATATATTATTAATTTAAATTATATTGCAAATTTATTACATAGTGCTTAATAACAGCACTTACTACAAAGAAATGCAATGTATCAAATAAATATTCAATTTAGCTTAGAATTTTCTTACTTTAAGGACCAGGATATAACAGCCTAAAATTGATGCAAAGTACTACATTTATATACTACTACATGTTTTTTTTTTTTGTTTCATGGATCCCTTTTTCAGTCAGGTTAAAGTCGTGGACTTCGAAACAATAATTTTATTAAAATAAAAAAAGTGTTTGTTTTTAACAAAAGTTAGTTGATTTTCACCCTTTAAGCCCACGGATCCCTGTTAAGAACCAGTCCTAGATGAGATGGAATACATGTAATTTGAATTAGTATACAATATTTATTCTGTATTTCAAACGTCGCTAGACCCGATACGTAATACTGGTATAGCTAAACAACAACCAAATTATGTAATTAATTTAGCCTTAAACTAGCCCGATAGGATTTCGGCATTTGGTTGGTGTTTAGCTAATTTGTATTTCATTGCCTAAATTATAAATATATACTATACAATATTTATAAAATATGTATTGAGTGGACTGCCATACAATATAAAATATTGTTTCCAATATAAAGTATTCATAATTTCAATATGTACATCTTCATCTAATTCAGAAAGAGGATTTCCTAACATAAACTAAGTTTAGATAATGTTTTACCGATTACTGTAATTGAAAAAAAGTGTTTGAGTCTCACACAATAGAAAGTTATCCGAAATCGAACATAGAACAATGTTCTGGTTCCAGAACAAAAAAATTTGAGTCGGTCGAACGTCACGGTTTTTTGAGGTCTCAGAAAAACGTTCCAATTCCACGGTTTCGTGATTTTCTTCGCTCGTTTATGGACTTAGCCCACTTGTTCTCAATACAGATTTTATAACATTTCCTATTTACAGTATAACAAAGCTTCTGACAATTCAGCCTTCTCGGATCAATCTCCACTTTTTTTGCTCCCTTCGCTCAACTTTCCGCGGGATGGGGCCCAACCCTCCCATTTCATTCTCGCCTTTGCCGCCTCTCGATACAACTCCCTATCCTGTTTACTTCACTCTTCTCCTTTGTTTCGTTCAATCCCAGCTCGCTTCGCTCATTGGTTAAAAATTTCGTGGCAATCTCTCGGTTCTCGTTTCTGCCGTTTCTATTTATTTTCCTTTCTTTCCTTCACGATGGAAAAAAGAATAAGAGTGCGACTATGCAGACGCGAGCGAGCGAACGAGAGCGAGAAGAGGGTGTGAAACATCATCACCTCGCCACATATTCTCGCTCTCTCGCGTCTGCATAGTCGCATTCTAAGGAAACGTTCACACGAGCGATTTATAATCGCTTTGTCGCTGCTACAAAAAAAAAAAAAAAAAATCTTTGAAATTAGAAAGCGGTACTTCGATGGAGTCGACCGTGCCAGCGACTGTTTAGTAACTGCGACAAAAAAAGGCTACGTTCCATTCTAGCCTAGCGACAGCGCCAAAGGCACTGTCGCTAGGGGACTCACAACGAAGAAAACACGAAAGATATACGTGTCTAGACAAAACGGGCGATTATTTTTTCTCAAATCTCACGTGCACTTCTCGTGTTTTTTCTAGATGTGTTTGTATCGTCACAATCATGTGATCTAGGGAAATTTTCTTTTGTTTCTATGACAGTCATAGAAACAAAAGAAAATTTTTTTGCTGTAGAGCTTTCTTTGTTTATAACATGACAAAACATAAAATATAAATAAATTTAATGATATAAAAACAGCTTTTACACAATTATAGTTAGTCTAGAATTTAAAAAAAAATGAAATATAATGTGATACATGAATATTTACAAATTATAAAAAGGTAAATTCAAATATAATATGAATATAAATGCAATATAATATAAAAATTTAAATATACAGTACAATACAATACAAGCGAATCCAGCAGCCAAAAAGTGTTTATACAATGATTTTGAAATATTCTGCTCTGATTCGCTTTTTTGAACGTGTCTCTCAACTGTTTCAACCAATATGTCTTTTGTCACCATCCCAAGGCATAAATCTTTCAGTAAAGACTGTACCCCGCCATCCTTAAGTAATTAGAGATAAAAAGGCAGATTATTGGCTGATCAAATCGAAAGTCGACTTTTTAAAAAACAGTAGTAGTTGCTTAATTTCAGTTTCTGTTTATATTAGATCAACGAATCAGTTACATGTAAAAACAGTAGAGCTAAAATTTCCGCTAACTGCCACACCCCCTCAAGCTACGATCTTTGAAACATATAAACAATCGCTATAAAATCGCTTGTTTTAATCGTTTTTTGATATTGAATATGCTGATGACAAGTGTTTCGAATGTATTTAGACGAGTAAGTATGTTTGCAAAATTGTTTAGTAATAAATATTCTCGGGAAACGCCACCTTACTATTCGCATTTTTCACTGGTTGCTCGTTCTCTGATGTTTAAAAACAAAACTATTCTATTTCCACCCTGAAGTCACGATTTTCACTGCGGAAGGCATATACAATCCTTCAAACGATCCGTCATGTCACCCACAAAACGTCAGATGCCATCATTTGCACAGACTCGAAATCGGTTCTTAAGGCTCTCCACGCTCAACACGATAATACCGTAATACATATTATTAACACCATCCTCAATCAAATGCATAACCTCAACCTTCACACCAAGCTTATCTGGACCCCGGTTCACAAAGGCATACCCATCAACGAACAAGCTGACAAACTCGCCAAAACCAATCCCCTCAACTCAAACATCACCCACTACATAATCCCCGAAGACCTTAACACTCTCATCAAGTCCGACAACGAGAAAATATAAACAATAGCTGAAACACCTACCCCAAAACAATCACTACCCTTACTTTTATAACACATCAGATATTTCTATTCCTGACATCACTGACCTCATCAACCGCGCAAGAACCAACTCTTTGCTTATGAACCACTTTCTTTACACTCGCAACATCTACACCACTGACCAGTGCAAATACTGTCCAAACAAAACTAACACAATCATACACCGCCTCAACGAGTGTTCAAAATTTAACAACATCACGGGAAGAATCCTCTCCGATAACAGTCTTACTAAAAATCATCTTCTCAATACCAGCGACTGCCTTCAATCCTTATCGATCTTCTTTAATGAATACAAAAATACCTACAACTACTAAATCTTTAAAACTACTGTATTTTCTCATATCTCATAATGTCTGCCAACGGTCGACAAACAGTTAATTTACCCACTTGTTTTCGACGTTGCTCGTTCAGTGTCCTGAATCACCAACGACTCCACACCACCTTGTGCACTCTCCTTTAATCCCTCCACATTTATACTGATTTTGTCAAACGTTTCTTCTAGATCAGTGTTTTTCAACCTTCTGGAATACGCGACTCCTTTACAAGTTAAAAAATTCTGGCGACCCCCATAAGGTCGCCATATTAGTGATTTTAAAAACTATGTATTTAATTTTCTTTCTGTTGAGACAAATTATTGTTGATTAAAATGAAAATTTCGGAAGAATCAATAATAATTTAACACACTATGAAACTTCCTTTAATTATAACATTGGGCACAGGGAGCTGTTGACCTTTTTTTTAGGATCAGAATTTTCAGCTTCTACTTTTCTACTTTTTATTTCTTTTTGCAAATCAGCTCAACACTTTTTCGGCTATTATTTTCTGGGGTGGGCCGTAATTCTCGCTGAAATTGTAGTTTTTTTTAATGTAGTGTAGGACCTACAAACACTTGTCTTTCTCTTTTACCCGCGACCCCCGTGTAAGGCTTCGCGATTCCCCTGGGGGTCGCGACCCACAGGTTGAAAAACACTGTTCTAGACTTTTCAAGTGCTTCAACTTGAGATCGCCATCTGTTCCTCCAATCAACTCCACTCACAGACCCAAAAAACAACTACATGAGGCGAAAAAGCCAGCGTAGCTAACGCCTAACTTCCCCGCCAGAGGGCGGGAAGCAAGCCCACGTGAGAAAGAAAGAAAGTTTAGTGTAGCTGAAATTCAAAATGGAGGTATGTTATATTTTATACTTTAAATTGAATAAAAGAATATTTAAATGAGATTTTTCAGAATGTCATTTATTAAATAAAAAGGAAAAATATAGTAAATTTACATAGCTTTTAAGTAGCCAAACTAAAACCATTTATAAGTAAATGATAACTAAATAAATTTCGGTAATCCTGCAGTTTACGTCGTCAAGATTGATCGATATAGTATTTATAAACAAATATATATATTATAATTATATAACACAGTATACGCATCTGAAATTCAACCATTATATTATTCTGCACAGTGAAAACCACCTTTGGTTTCATTCTTTTTTCGCGATCAATGTTGACCAACGTAAACTGCAGAATTACTGAGATTTATACATGATATATCAATTTATATTTAAAGAAAATTTTAACTAACTTCTGTTGCAGGAAGTTCAAAAGCATTCGGTACATACATTAGTATTTCGTTCATTAAAAAGAACACATGATATGTTCCTGTCTGATCAAGCCAATCCTCCACCAAATGATGAAAAAAGGCATGCTTTAGTTCTCAATTTTTAGTTCTAGCAGTAAATGAAAATGGGTAGATGTTCACCTAAGTAGCTTCGATGGCGGTATCGTGTTTAACAATTTAGCCCATGCTACTGTGCCAGCTTCAAGTAGCCCACTTGACTGTTATATAGTAGGAGGTGATAAGGTGAGAGCAATAGCGAGCACCGAGTGCATGTTTACATGCAAAGCATGGAGGATAGTGGGTAGACTGATATGTGTTAAAAACGGATGTTTGGAGATGAATATCATGCGAAGGGTCAACAATTGTGGGGGTGCTGTGATTTATGTAAAAAAATACTGAATAAAACATCAATTTCACTAAAAAAGTAGTGAAAACAATCATTACTCCAATAAGTAGGTGCCACCATTGGGGCTAACTAGGTGAACATTTACCTGAAAATTTACCTTTATATAAAAGTGTATATGTATGTTTACTTATTTCTTAAATATTTTGAAAATTGTGATATTCCAAAGATTTTAAAAATAAACTTTCTAAAACATTCACAAATAATGACTTACCAAAAAAAAATAATGAAAAAAAAAATGTTATCCAATGTGCTTTTTCCAACACTGTGTACCAGGCCATCATGTTCACTGTAAGTTCAAAAAATTTTTCACATCTATGTTAATTGTTCCCTTTTGTAAATCATTTCCAATTTAATCATTATTGTAGCTTATACCTGTTAATCAATAATCACCATCCATATTTTATCTAATGTCACAACTCCTGCATTTCTCACAATCCATGTGAGTTTCCTAATGTTCTTTTACAATTTTGTAACATTATAGTAAAATTTTGCTAACTTGTATACATTATGCTAATTTTCCCTGTATAGTTTTAACACAAGAGTTGAAAAGGGATATAATTATCCGAAATGCATACTCAAATAAATAAAAAGTCTTTCTAAAGTTTGTCCTCTGTTTCATTGATGGTGTAATAAGTCTAGCAGAAAAGAAAAGCCATCTTAGTACTTGTATATTTGAACATAAGACTAGACAAGAAGCCTATTGCATAATGTTATCCTTGTTGAAAAATTCATTTTAATAATAATAATCATAATTATTTAAATTGTAATACTTTCTAAATATTTTTAAATATCTGACAATGCTTCATTGTCAGAGTCCATAAATTTAAATTAAAACATTGTATGATATTACTAAAAGTAATACTAATTTTGATGCATATAGGTCAGATTATATTAGTATATATAAAAAGAAGGAATAAGTCAACACAAAAGGATTTTATGAAATAAAATAAATTTCTGGATCTCTATAAGAAAATTCTAACACTACCATCTTTTATGTAAAATATTACATGTAATATGACTTAATTTTAAAAAATCAGATTTAGTAATATTGTACTTTATTATTATTAATTAATTAATAGAAAGATATTTAATACTTTAATATGAATTGTTTGTTTATAACAGTGAAGCATTTAAGTTAAGTATTAAAGGCAGAGATGAATACGGTCCAGTTATGCATCTTGTTAAAAATAATCCAGGAAGACAAATTGATGATGATATGAGAAAAAGTGATGATGATTCATCTACAAAAAGTGAGTATTATACAGTATAATACAAATCTAAATGTAAATTTGAATAAATTCGTGTTTATTATGTTCTTAACTACACTTTTTAGGAATAATTGTTTGTCTGTTTAGCATTGCAGATGCTAACCCATGATGCAGAGAATGAATACTAGTTTAATTTTGTTATTAATGAAGTTTTGAAATAATAAAAATGAAAATATTTTAACTCTGAAATACAAAGCTGAATAAAATAACTAGAAATATAATTATCAAATTAGTTGATAATACTATATATAAGATCAAATACTTTAAGATCAAAACCTTATAGTATTGAATTTAACTAAAAAGTAATACAAATTTTTATTTTTGATTAAAGAGTATATTGTAATTATTTGTCATTGATGTATACTATTAGTAAAAGTTAAAATGAAAGCCAATAATTATTTAAAGCATTTAAAAGATTTAATGAACAGTAGTAAGGATTCCTAATTGAAATATTAATATTTGGCCATAATAAATTTACAATAACATTGATATATTTTTGATGTGTATAAGAGATATTCATGATTTATAGCTTTTCTGATTATACTGGCTTTCACAGCCTTCTTAGAAATGCCAACTAATAAATGGAAAGCTTCCTCTAAGCAACATAAATTACGTCAGTTGTTGAAACCTGCTGACGGAGGAATCAGAATTGTTTTGTGATTTTAAAAATATTGAATTAGTCAAAAAAGACATTTGTCAGTCAATAAAGTGGTCCAAGAAAGATGAAATAAGAATTGCAAATCATTTTATTGGAATGTGTATTCATGGTTCGTAGCTTTCATAGAATGTAGCTCATCTAAAAGTGAGAAAAGCTTCCCATTGTCAATATCCCTGATGTTTTTGAGGTCTCTTAGGTTTCATCTTCAGATTTTTTTTTTTTTTCTTTCAAATAAGAATTCTAGTGGATTGAAATTTAATTCAAAATACAGGTAACCCCCATATAACATGGCACTTCTATAGCACAGATTCACTCTAACATGGTTTGAGAATTGGGAACATCGCCGTATAGCACAGTGCTTTTATAGCATGGGTTCACTCTAACACGGTTCGGGAATTGGGTTAAACCCTCATACAACATGAAATGTAATAAAGGGTGCGTTCTTTTGTACCTCCACATAACTCCGCGCGAGCATTCTAATTGTTTTCATGGCTACTTTGAATGCTCTTTCAACAAATAATCCATTTAATGGTTAAATTTTAAAATTGGGACCCTTCTTTTGCCTCTAAAAGCTCATTTTAGAATTATAGATTCTTCCATCATGATACTATTGATAGTGCGGGCGCCACCACCTTTCTTCCACTGTCCTTCAAAATGCCTACAAACAGCAGCGCACTCCCATTGCAGAGCGACTGCTATTAACGAATGCACCCAAAAACTTACCAGTTGATGATGCTCATGCTGAGATCATCATATAGGATGAATAATCCTCTGGTAAAATATTTACTTAAATAATAAGTATTTTACCTATGAAAAAAATGAATAATAAATCTGATTTAAATAAGGATTTAACAGCATGTTTTTTTAATTTTTGGAACCTAACCCCCTTTTTCGCACCAGTTCTTTGTTTCGTATAACATGGATTTGCATAACATGGCAATTTTTTGGAACGTAACACCCATGTTATACGGGGGTTACCTGTATTAATATTCAAAACAATTAAAAATATACAATGTTATACCCTGTTCGCACCGAGCATTTCGATCTAGATTGTGACTAAGGTCGGAGCCTGTTCCGTGGTGCGAACGCTCTCGACCATTTCAATCTCGACTGAAACGAGGTTCAATCGTGATTGACTGGAGAGAGTTCTCGAAACTAGATCCAGTTATAAGAGAGATCCCACGCGCGCGAGAAAATACAAGATGGCTGCGGAACACGTGTCGGGCTATCGACAAAGAAATAAAAAACACATCTGGAGAGACGACGACATCTGTCTATTATTAGATGTATGGCAAGAAAAAGTATTTATTTCTAACCAAAACTTCCATTTTGTTTGTTGGTGTTTGTGACTTACCGCGTAGTTACGTCAGTTTTATGATCGTGTGTAATAGCCAGGTTCTTCTCGAGCGGACTGCCTGTGCGAACAGCACGACGTTCGACTAGCAACAGTCACAATCCAGATTGTAGGTAAATCAAGATCAAAGTGAGTCGTGGATTGTGTGTGAACGTAGTATTAGGTAATAACAACACCAAACGATCGCCTAATTTATCGGGCTATAATATGGCTATTTTAAATGATTGGAACTAAGTAATTTGACATTAGAGGTAGGCGTTAGGCGCCATCTCTTAATTAAATTAATAATTAAATAAATAAATTTAGAACATTCTGGAATAAAAGAACTGGCCCGGGACGGGGCTTGAACCCGCAACCTCCGCTTGCCGTGCGGTGCGCTTGCCAGTTACGCCACCCGGACCCCGAGCTAGTCTTCGCTTCCAGAAGTATATTAGATTTAGATATAACCTTACTTGGTTAAATACATCACCGGCTGGGGACGACTCCTTCGCCCACGACCCTAACGGTACTCAGCCGGCTAGCTCATTTGAAATAGCCATATTATAGCCCGATAATTAGGCGATCGTTTGGTGTTGTTATTATCTACTCGGGCTGTGAGTTGATGTTTATATATATATATACACCTCGCCGGGTGTTACGTTAGCCGGCTGAGTACCGTTAGGGTCGTGGGCGAAGGAGTCGTCCCCAGTCGGTGATGTATTTAACCAAGTAAGGTTATATCTAAATCTAATATACTTCTGGAAGCGAAGACTCGCTCGGGGTCCGGGTGGCGTAACTGGCAAGCGCACCGCACGGCAAGCGGAGGTTGCGGGTTCAAGCCCCGTCCCGGGCCAGTTCTTTTATTCCAGAATGTTCTAAATTTATTTATTTAATTATTAATTTAATTAAGAGATGGCGCCTAACGCCTACCTCTAATTGTCAAATTACTTAGTTCCAATCATTTAAAATAGCCATATTATAGCCCGATAATTAGGCGATCGTTTGGTGTTGTTATTATCTACTCGGGCTGTGAGTTGATGTTTATATATATATATATATCTCGCCGGGTGTTACGTTAGCCGGCTGAGTACCGTTAGGGTCGTGGGCGAAGGAGTCGTCCCCAGTCGGCGATGTATTTAACCAAGTAAGGTTATATCTAAATCTAATATACTTCTGGAAGCGAAGACTAGCTCAGGGTTCGGGTGGCGTAACTGGCAAGCGCACCGCACGGCAAGCGGAGGTTGCGGGTTCAAGCCCCGCCCCGGGCCAGTTCTTTTATTCCAGAATGTTCTAAATTTATTTATTTAATTATTAATTTAATTAAGAGATGGCGCCTAACGCCTACCTCTAATGTCAAATTACTTAGTTCCAATCATTTAAAATAGCCATATTATAGCTCGATAAATTAGGCGATCGTTTTGTGTTGTTATTATCTACTCGGGCTGTGAGTTGATGTTTTTATATGTAGTATTAGGTTTCAACTTGTTTTATTTTTTTAAAGAGCTAAATTATTTAATAAATTGTTTTAATAAAATATCTTTTTTTAAAAAATTAGTTTGAATTTATTTCTAGATTCAAATGATCGAAACCAAGAAATGAGAATAAGTTCAGAATTAGACATGCAGCCAATGTATGATAATGAAGCACCACCACCTGGTGTAGATGATTTTTATGTTCCTCCAATTCTTCCTCCAGCTGGAAATACTCCAAATACACAAGTAATGTATTGTTTTATCTGAATCTATGTTAGGTCTTTAGATTAAGTATAAATTGAATAATTTTTTGATGCATGAAAGTTTCATTTTTATAAATTTCTTAAAAATTTGGAAAAATTTATTTTTATGATGAAATTATTTCAATAAATTTAAATAAAACATTACTTTTTAATTATTTAGCTTTAAATAGATATTTAAAAATATATTATAAAAGTTAAACTATACATTCAAACTCCAGTTATTCAGAAGGTGATTACCTGAATTTTCCTCTGACTTTATTAAAAATAAATAGATGTGTGTGTGTGTATATATATATATATGTGTGAAAAGTATTTGCATGAAAAGTAATTATTTTGTGAAATCAGAAAATCTATATTTATTTATAGGTGTATTTCCACATTTAGTATTTTATTTGCACATAATTATGTATACACATACATAACTGGATATTTGGATGGAGAAAAATTACTATTTTAAGGAAAAATCCAATTATCCTGCTATTCTGCATATCTGGTTGGCCCTAAGTTCCAATTAATTCAGATAATTTTATTTTTTGAATTTTAATTCAAATAAAATGTAAATGATTCCCTTTTAAGTACTTATTATAGTTGATATTGTTATCTTGTAAAGTTTCAAACTGTTGACTTTCAATTTTATAGTGATATGTATATGTTACCGCTAAAGCTCGAAATCCGTTAATGTGCACATTACCTAGCCAATCTGCACATTAACTAGGGTGATCCGTTAAAGTTGCTAAAATTGTTCTATTTCTCAAATTACCTAGGTAATGTGCACAGTATCTAGATAATCTGCACATTACCTACTAGGCACTCGGTAAAGTGAAAATAAGATTTTTGCTGAAACAACAGCACATTTCTGTACACTTAAATTAACATAATGTTATTTATTTAATTTTCAATATCTAAAGAATCAAGTTAATACAATCAAACAATCAACAAATTAGTTGATTGAATCAATCATATAACATTATGTTAATTTAAGCGTACAGAAACTTTGCTGTTGTTCCAGCATAAATCTTATTTTCACTTTAACGAGTGCCTAGTAGGTAATGTGCAGATTACCTAGATACTGTGCACATTACCTAGGTAATTTGAGAAATAGAACAATTTTAGCAACTTTAACGGATCACCCTAGTTAATGTGCAGATTGGCTAGGTAATGTGCACATTAACGGATTTCGAGCTTTAGCAGTAACATATACACTATTATACACTATTATTAAATTGTTTGTTTTATTTTATTATTTTTGACTGTTTAAAGATATTAATAATAGATCATTTTTATTAGAATTCTTGTAACATGTATTTATGTTTGTGAATTTTACATTCACATATTTAAATACATGTTGTGACGTGTATTTGGTTATTACTGTATATATTAAATTTTTAGTACAGGCTTTTCTGTGCACTAACAATTTATAAAAAATTAGGATGGATATACAGTATGATCTTGTCTTATGTTGGGGTTGTCCATCAGCAAGAACTATGTAAAGCGAAATTATACATAAATTTGTTCTCTACTACAAATGGTTCTAAACGAGTGTCAAAATTTTTAATTTTATTTCGTACAAATCACATACTGTTCATTCAAAATTTTTTCTGCTTTTTTCATGTCTATAATGAAACTTTCAATTTTCATTTCATTGTGATAATTTTTTCTCAAAGGTAGGATGTAGAAAGTAGTATACAAATTATAGGCAATTTTATTATTAAATTAATTATAATTTTTATTTCTTTGCTCCATAATGAAGCTCATAAAAAAACAGTATTTTCATTAATATTCTGAATTACCTTTGTGCATGCAAGGATTAACTCAACCATTTGTCATCCATGAAAACATGAATTCATATATGTAAATATGGACTTAATATATTGATATTGGCAAGATTGGTATATTGTATCAATTTGCATAAAACAAGACACTATTGAACTGCACATGGTAGGGTCAAAAATAAATGTAACGTTTATTTACATTATTAACTTTTATTACATTAATAGTACAAATATTTCCAGACCATCTTCAAAGTAAGTTTCTTCTTGCAGTTGTATATTTCTGTCAGTATCCATGTCACATATCAAGGCAGTTCTAGAAACTTTTTGAGAGGAAATCTTTGTTTTTGCTGCTACAGTTTCCACATTCAGTTTTCATTGGTTGTTCCTGGTTAATGACTATTTGGCAAAAAAAGGCGTAACAATACTTCCTCAATCACTTTATTTCTTGCTTTTGTCTATGAAGTTGTTCTGTTCATAAAATGAAAGGGAAATTGAAGGACTAAAGGTTTTAATTAGTAGCAGAAGGTCAAACTGCAGCAATGAAAGCTTACGAAAGATCACAAAAAATAGCTTTCAGGAATGCTTTGTCGAGTAGTATGGATTTCTATAACATATTACTTGACAAAGAAGCTGCAGTAGAAGCTTATTATGAAAGTGGTGTGTTGTAGGAGTTTATCTCTGTATTAGATTAGAATTTTAATTTGTGTGTGTGAAAGAAGATTAAAAAATTTTATAATTGTTGAAAAAGTATTACAATTTTAAACATAAATATTTACTATAAATTGTAAATTGGATATTTTCCTTCTATTTTAATTTTGAAAAGAGACTAACTGATGAATACAAATAAAAAATGACAAGTAAGTTGTAAGTATTCATTGCTAATTTAAAAAATTAAATATTATTTTATTTTAGGCTATTGTACTAGCAGGACAACAACAACAACAAACTATTATACCTAAGAGAGCTCCTGCACTATTGAAACCTCAATGGCATCCACCATGGAAATTGTATAGGGTAAATTTGTATTTGTAATTAATTGTACATAGTATAATTTTTTTTTACAATTATTAAATAATTAATTTTGTACATGATTAACTTTTTAATATTTTAATACATCTGAAATGTAAATTTAATATTAAAATAATTTTTAGGTTATAAGTGGTCATTTAGGATGGGTTCGATGTTTAGCTGTTGAGCCAGGTAATGAATGGTTTGCAACAGGATCCAACGATAGAATGATAAAAGTAAGTTTTGATCTTTTAATATTGAATTGATAAAAAAAACAATAATTATTATATTTTTTATAATAATCAAATAGTTATATCCAGTGCTATTTTTCTAAAAAAAATATTACTGTCAGTATATATATGTTGTGACTAAAAATAAAATTTTCTGTTAAAAAACAGTGTTTAATTAATATTACTATTGATAATTATTTATTTTCTTCATAAATGTACACATTTGTGTTGTAGCATTTATAATATTTTTCAGATTTTTATGTATCATTATATATTAGTCATAATGAATTTTTGTATTCATTATGGCTAATAGACTGGTTCAATTTGCTTTGTTTATTTTTACTATGCCAGTCACTGGGTATCTTGTCTGAACATGTAGAAGGTTTCTTACTGAGCAACTGCTGGTATTAGGTATTTGCTTTGGATATATTTTATGCTATTGGTATGGCATACCAGTGAAACTGTTTTTTAGCTGTTCTGAGTAAAAAAATAGCCCTGATTATATCATATAAAAAAATACTTGATATGAAATTGCATTTATATTGAATTAGACTAATATAAAAATACTGATAATTCAAATATCAAATAAACAGCCAGATTTTCTTTATCAGGCTATTAAGCTAAATAAGTAATTTGGCAGAAAGTAGGTAGTTAGGCCGATATGAGACTCATTTTCACTAAATTTTGGTTGTCATTATATAATTATTATTGAATTATTATTAACAATATTTTGTATAATTTTAATCAACTTATTTTAAACTAATAATATAATCTCTTTAAGTGATAAGTTGGAAATTTTATTGTATTTAAACTATAGTCGATTCTGTTTAATTGGACCACTGGTTAATCGGGACAGCCACTTTATTGGGCCAAATCTCAAAGAACAGAAACCAAACTAGTAAATTAATACATAATTTAATTGTTTGGGACAGTAGCAGAAAAGGAATTTAGCAATTTTTGATATATTTTAGGGATCTTCCGAAAATATGTAGACACTATGTACACTAATGTCATGTAGGCCTAACGGTTGGCAGAGACAAAGCGATTTTGTTTTTCACTTGGGCAGTTTGGTTTTTCTGGAAGAGGTCAGCATAGCAGGATGCATCACAGGGATCACATCTGAGGCAGATCTGAATGTGAGCTACTGACCCTGCCCGGACGATCCCCTTAAAAGCGAAGGAACAAAGATCATCAGACAATTTTTTGAGGTCTTTCAACTGAATTGGAAGACAGCTAGAGTTCCCTTGGAAGGTATTGTGTACATGATTACCTCTAGATTTGGACAGCAGCCATCCAGTTGTTGAGATCAGCATATGGAGCTAGCAGATTCTACGGACACTTCCGCCAAAGTGGCCAAAGGAAACTGCTCAAAGGAAGACCATAAGGTGACTTTTGGACAAACCCTTTCTTTCCCCCTTTTTAGTTAGAACATGTTCTAATATAAAGGGAGAAAGGAAAAATCATTCAATCAAGAATGAATCAAACAGTCAATCTTTGTGTATGTCACCACTAATACTGTATTTAGCAACTCTAGTGTGTTTTGAATCATTTATCTATTGTCGTGAGTCTGTCAAATTTATAGTACAAATATTTTCTGCATTTTGGTTTAATAAAGCATTAAAATAGGTATCTAATTATTATTTTTTACCTAGTTATTTGTTCATCTACATATTACATATTTTATTTTAAAATTTATTATTAGTTTGTTTAATTGGGGCAGCCACTTAATTGGGCCAAAATGAATTAGTTCCAATGTGTCCCAATTAAGCAGAATTGACTGTATATATGTATTTTATATTTCTTTTTATTATTCTGTCTGTTTGTTTATTAGGCATTTGTTAACTATCAGACAAGTGCCCTATGCATCAACACTTAATAGATGTGTGAATGAGACACGGATTTTTTGTTATCAAGTAGCATTGTAAAGGAATTTTGCCTATTTTTCTTAGTTTGTGGATCTTCCATTCTAAATTTTTAGCAAAACTGATTAAAAATAATCAAGAGAAACAAATTAGAATAAAAAAATTATCAATTTTAACTCTTATTAATCTCTCAACATTTGGAGGAAAAAACAAGGGAAAGACTGTCGTTTCTTCCTTTTCAATTATTATTGATAGTTGTTAACTTTATCCACATCACATGGGCACATACAGTTCATACTAGACGAGAGGAGGAGGACTAAAAATAATCAAGCTTATCTCTCATACATCAACTTCCCCTGGAATAAAATCATGATTGGTCAGAAAAAAAGAATAAAACAAAAGGGAATAATGAAACACATGAGAAGAGAAAACAAAGAGAGAGGAGATGGAGAGTGAACACAGCATTATTCTCAGAGTTTAAGAGAGTGAACTCTGAGAAAACAGAGCCAACACAACAGTAGAGAGCCACACCAGAAGAGAGAGTCAATGAAAAGAGAGAGAGATGAAAGGATAAGGAGCAAAATGAGGAAAAGAAAAAGGAACCAAAGAGAAGACAGAAGGTCTTTGAAGAGAAAACAACTCTTTTCCTAGTATGTTGAGTCACAAAGTTCAAATACCCCTCTACTAGGTAGTCTCTGGGCTTAATAGTATGCAAATAGGCTAACTTCTGAGGATAGACTACATCTATCCAGATACAGTCATATTGTTATAGACAGATTTTGTCTTTAATAGTATTTTTAAACTTAATTTTAGTGTTATGTTTAGTTTTTGTAATAAATTTTCCTTTTGTATTCTTAAGTTGGTTTAGCTGATCCTCCTGAGGGGCTTATTCCTGGACTTTTGGAGTGATTCTTATCACACCATAAATATCTGTCTTTTTTAAATTGGTCTAAATTGGAGGTTTGTCCAATAATACACATCTGGTGGCAGGATCCTTAAAACTTTTAGATCTCGATTTTGATAGTCTCCAAACCCCCACAGTCATCTCTCATTGAATTTAATAATTATAAATTAATTAAATTTAAAGATGTGGCCAATATGATTATATCTAAATTAGTTAATCATTATTCTGAAAGCAAATATGGAAGCCTGAGTAGTCAATTAGCAATGCACCTGCATGGTAAGCAGGAGTTGTGGGTTTGAGTGATTTTTTCTTCCAGAATATTCTGTAATTAAATTCAATTATAGATTTTATTTATGACTATTAAATTCAACAAGAGATGGTGGCCTAACCACCCACCTCTTGCCAAATTATGTAATAATTATTTAGGCTAAATAGTCCAATAAAGCAATCTGGCTGTTCATTTTGTATTTGAACTAATTATAAGGTTGGTTGTATTTATTATATACCAATAATTATTTTTGAAATACAGTAGAGCCTCGAAAACTCTGCACTCGATAACCCGGCACTCCGGATAACTCGGCCACACCCTGGCAGGGCAAAAAAATTCTTAGTTAATTAATTTTCATTATAAAGACAGCTTTATGCCTCATAAAGTATTTTTCTGAGGTCTGTCTTATCAGGTAAATTACTGTACAGTGTATTCATTAATTTTTTATTTTCATGTAGTAAAGGCTTTATGCCTTCATAAAAGACGTACTTTTCCTTTGTTTAAGGGTATTTGGGCAGTTTATTCTCTGTTGTATTTGAAGTAAACAATACATACAAGTACAGTACGGTATTTTCTGAGGAAACACTCATACTTATTTTTTTTTAACCCCATTCCCGATAACCCGACATTTTCACAAACTCGGCCACCCTTCGGTCCACATTAGGCCGAGTTTTCGAGGCTCTACTGTATAAACAAATTTTAAAATTATTTATCTTTTCTAAGAATCTGTTTTTTTTTTATTTGAATAAATAAATTTTATATTGTTTTTGAAAATTGATAATTTTATTGTTTGTTTTTAAGATTTGGGACTTAGCAAGTGGAAAATTGAAGCTTTCTCTCACTGGTCATATCAGTGCTGTGAGAGGATTAGCAATAAGTCCCAGGCAACCATATTTATTTTCTTGTGGTGAAGATAAGCAAGTGAAGTGTTGGGATTTGGAGTATAATAAGGTAATTATAAAATATTCAAATGAGTTATTAAAATGTAATGTTAAAAATTTGTCATATAACTGATAAGTGCTTCAAAATTATTATTAAATTTTTTCAGTTTAATTTAAAATGATGAATCTTAATTAAAGATTAACATTTTTCCAGTAATTTATTCCTCAAATAACTGTTAATTAGCTCTTACAGAGATCTTTGTTAGTGTATTGTATTCATTATACAGAGTGTTTCAGAAAAAACTCCCAGGTTTTAAAGGTAAATAAAAAAGGCCTTATAAATGCTAATCAGATTTTTATTTCATAATTTACAAGTGCTAGGAGTACAGTTTGTTTTCACTTGGTTTTGAAAATGATGTCTAATTGATTTGCAATACACATTTGTAGTCAATTTCTGAAGTTTTGCATAACCCAGTATGTCATTTTATGCATTATTACTTCAATTTCTTTACAAATAGCAGCTTTCAAGTCAAATGGTTTTTGGGTCTGTGTGTGCAGAACTCAGCTTTTGGATAACCCTAGAGAAAAAGTCCCAAGGGGCAAACATACAGGCCTTGGGCATCCTGTATCTTTTATAATGAAAATTTCCTTACTCCAACCCAGCAAATAACCTCTCATAGAGTTTCTAAAAAAAGAATAACTTTTAACTGTATCATTGACTGAAAACTACTCTCATCACAGAGGCGTGTCCTTTTGCTGATTTCAAAGGCATATCGCACCACTAGCAATGTGTGTTTACAAATAATCACCAGGAAACTGCCAATAGATCTCATCATCAACCAAAAGCAACTTACTAACAAACTCAAATGGGGAGAAAACATTCAAACCACCACTCGAGATATAAGACATCAAGACATTGAGTGGCCTTCTCACCTAGGTGAGACACTTCTCTCAGACAAATCCTTTTTCAACTTTGACAATAATACATATGAAGACATTCTACATATATATACGGACTGATCGAGACATGACAATAAAGTTGGCTGTAGTTACGTTATATTCAAAGAAAACAAGAAGATAAACCATCGAAAGTTCCGGTTACACAATGACTGCACAATATTCCAAGCGGAGATGTGGGCCATATACATGGCAATAGAACATATCAACTCTACCTACAATAATCAACATATAAAAATACACGCAGATTCTCTCTCTGCTTTTAACATCATAAAAAGTAGAAATCTACACCCGTTAGCAGATGAAATAAGAAAAACGATATTCTCATCTACGAACAACTTTGAAATCCTCTGGGTAAGAGCACACCAGGGAAACGGGGAATGAGATAGCAGACTGCCTGGCAAAGGAGGCTGCAGATGAAGAAACTCTTCCCATTTCTTACAGCAAGATAAGCAAACGTACACTTAACAATATTCTGTGGAAAGACACTACAGTCGACCCCCCTATAATTATGGTCCCTATAATTACGATTCCTATAAAACTACGAAAAAATATACGTATTTTGGAAATGTTGAGTCGGATTAGTGTAGAATCGATTAATTTTATGGAAGAAAACCTTTCAATCAGCCGTAGTCTGTAAACTTGACACGTGTCGGACTGTGATTGGAACGACTTGTAAGAAATCGGATTCCTAATAAATTGGAACGTATCTATATCTTATAGGGGAGTCAACTGTATTCATCAATGGCAAACCAGATGGGATCAACACAAAGAACACATAACCTACAGCTTTGTCTCAAATTTGGAAAATTTTCTAGAAAATAATTGGTACAGCCCCAATTTTTACAACTCACATGACAAATCATGGCAGATATGCCACTTATTTAGCAAGATTTACCAATGGGACTTCCAAGCTTTGTCCAATCTGTGAAATGGAAGACGGGGCATTACACTACTTGTTACACTGTCCCATTCTAGCTCGAGAGAGACTGGAGCTTCAAATTTTACTACAGGAACAAGCTGTCCTTGGAAGGAACAGGATAAGCTGGCCTTGTAAACTGTCAGACATATGGTTGACTAAGGATGTATATAAGGCCTTCGAAAGGCTCAGTAAGCAAATAAGTTATGTGACATATAATCTAATCTATAGATAAGTTTACTTTGTTATATTTGTCTCATTTTATTCTATTATCTAATGCATTTATAAACTTTGTTTGTTATTTACAATTATGTAAAGTATCTACCTAATAATGTTTGTTAACAGCCAAGCAATTCCATGGCTGATGACCATAATGTCTGTCAAGCTATCCCGCACACGCAAGCCTGACGTGAGCATTGTACTGTAAATATTTTGTTATTGTTATGTCCACTTATATCATGTTATCCACTATTTTACAGTATTTTATTTTATTTTATTTTTTCTGTATTCAATATATCTCTGTTTCTAACCCCTGGTAATGCCAAAAGCGGTACCAGGGAATGTACTTATAATTTTTAGTACCAATTAAAAAAAAAAAATAATGAATGAATAATGAATGTATCATTGACTTTATATTTATATTTTAGTTTAACTTTCCTTTTGTCATCACAGAATGAGATCAAGTGCTTTTAAACAGTTTTCCCAAAACTTTCATTGATCTCACCACATAAGTAGTTACCCCATCCTATTAAAACCACACATCTGTATTTCCAAGTGTGTTGCACTTTGGTAATTTTACTGCTTAGTTCAGGAAACCAAATTACTTTTTATTAGAGAACATTTTCATTCTTTTTTAAGAATATCTTCAGCTTCAATTTTCTACTGGTAAAGAACTATATATTCCATTTTGAAAACTGAAGCTAAAGATGTCTTTAAAAAAGAACAAAAATGTTCTTGAATAAAAAAACAGTTTGGTTTTCTGAACTAAGCAGTAAAATTATTATTGTTAATATTGAGCCAAGTTCATTCAACATTTATTTGGATAAGTTGTATAGATTCATTTGGAGCTATTTTGATTTTTGTATTTTTAAAAAATAAAAAAGATATTTTTATGATCATAAAAATAAAACTAAAAATATATTTACTGTTGCAAAATAATTTTCTTATGTAATTGTAAAATTTTACAAATAGTTTGTGAAATAAATTCAAGGTTTTCATATTTTTGATTTAGACCACTTTTGTAATCACTGACACATTTATGAATTAGATGAATATACAGTAGAGCGTCATTTATCCGAAAGCCAATCAACTGAAACGTCAGTTAACCGAAAGTGTTTCAGTCGGACTGTGTCATGCTGAATCAAACGTTTTTGATACTATATTAACTTCAAAATATAACTTTTTTGTTTTTATATTTTTCAATATATTTATTTTGTTTGTACAAAATATAGAATTAATTTTTAATGATACAATAGCCACGATTATTATTTTAAAAAATTTATGTCGGGCTTAACATCAACGAAAATTCAACGCAAAGTGACACGCAACAGAGAAAAATTTCAACATGGGATAGGTTAGCATATTTTTCAGATAACCGATTACTTATGAAAAAATAAGTTATCCGAACAATCCCAGTCCCCAATTGATTCAAATAAAGGATGCTCTACCATACTTTTTTTTTTCTTTTAGACATGAATATAATTTATTGTATTTTCTGTTTATGACTATGATATTAATTTGTTTATTTATTTTTTTTTTTAATTTTAAAGAACTTTTGCATATTAGTATAAGTTATGATAAAAATTTATATAGTAATCAAATTTAATAAATAAAAATTTTATGAAAATTTTAAACATTATATATTACAGGTAATTAGACATTATCATGGTCATTTGAGTGGAGTCTATGCATTAGCACTTCATCCGACAATTGATATTCTTGTAAGTGGGGGAAGAGATGCTACAGCAAGAGTAAGTTGAAAATTTTATTGAGATAATAATAATATATAGTAAAACTAACAAATATTAGCTAATCCTTCTTATGATTAATTAATATTCTATCAGATACTTTTATAATATAGAAAAAAGTCTCTTTTGTTGGTTAATAATAATAGATTATCTAGAAAATTTACAACTATCATCTGTTATATGATTTTCTAAGATTTCAACTAGTTCTTCACGTTTCAGAAAATTTTTTAAGGTTCTGAGGTCTCTAAGATTTTGGTGTTATTTCATTTCATGACAGTTTGTAGTTTGGCAATCTAATATAATGAAATTATCATTATAAAAAATATAAAAATATTCAATAAGAAACTTTTCAGAATATGCAATAATAAAAATATAAAAAATAAGAAATTTTATATCTTCTTCCTAGTTATTGTAGTAAATTTGCTCATAGTATTCAAAAAATTATATTGCCTTCTTTCCCTTAATACTGTTCATATTTTAGGGAGGATTTTGTAATAAATGATGTCATGTTTCTTTAAATTTTTGTTTTTTTTTTATTTGCTTTTGCTGTATATTATTGACTTTCACTGATAATTGAAAAGATATCAGATCAGATGAAGTTATTTTTCTAGTCCAGATCATATTCTTCCTAACTTTATCTCCTTGGATTTTAGAAAGGTGTCTATTAAGAATAGTAATTTCTGAATGAAGACAATGACCCAACATAAAATTTTTCTTACTTAGAAGCTTCTCAAATCATATATCATAGATATCAGATCAGTCCATAAGTTCATGCCTATTTTATGACCTTGAGAAAAATCTTGTTTGCTGTTAAAATTGTCAGTCTAATGTGATACTTTTTACACTGAAGTGTTAAATTGGATCTCATTAATATAATACTGTTCAGAATTGGGAACATTTCAGTTGTTTATTTTTGTTAAAATGGAAGTAACAGATGAATAAGAGACATGTTTTATACTTTTTATTTTTAAGTGGTGAGAATGTTACAAATGAAGCCAAAAAATTAAATACTGTTCATAATCAAACTGTAATTAGTGTAAGGACTGCGCAGAAGTGGTTTCAAAGATTTAGAAATAATGATTTTAGTGTGGAGTATAAGGCTTGTACTGGAAGACCCGTTGACTTTGATGATGATGCTCTCTCTGCACTAGTTGAAGCAGAACCATCTTTAACAGTTGATGAAATTGCAGAATGTTTAAATTCATCCCATGGAACTGTTCATAGACATCTACAACAAATCGGAAAAGTTTCAAAGCTAGGAAAATGGATACCACATGAACTGTCAATAGCTAACCGACAACAACGTGTAAACATTTGCACGTCTCTTTTATCCCGCATTACTTTAGAACCTTTTCTTTAGAGACGAAAAATTGATCCTCTATAATAACGTGACGAGAAAAAGACAATGGACAGATCGCAACAAGCAGCCAAAACCTGCTGCAAAAGGTGGGTTGTATTCAAAAAAAATTATTTTGTCTGTTTGGTGGGATATGTCAAGTGTAATTCACTTTGAGCTGTTAGAACCTAATCAAACAATTACAGCTCAAATGTATTGTGATCAATTAGAGCATTTCAATGAAAAATTGAAAAAAATCAACTGTCATTAGTGAACAGAAAGCAGGTTCTCTTGCAACATGACAATGCCAGACCACATGCTGCAAAAATAACTGTAGAGAAACTCAAAAGCTTTTTGGGGTCTTGATCAAATAATTGCAGATTTCAATTAATAAAACAAATTTATTAAGCGCTCGAATACTGTACAGAGTGCCGGCAGTACCGTACACGTGGTCAGACAGACTGTCCGGAGACAAAGACCGAAAACTAAGGGCACGGTAAGTGTTGCCAGGTTGGCCACATACTCCCTCCCCAGTGACAACGCTCAGGAACTTAGACGGGAAACGTACAGTTCGTCCAGAACGAGTCGTCCGTGGAAAAGGTGCCTGGATTTGCGTGGTCTCATCCGGTAGGTGGTCGTTTCTATCCACAGGTCCATCGTCAGTGTTAGAGAATGGCGGAGGGGTGGTTGTAACTTTCAGAAAGAAAGCGGGTTTGAGGCGGTCGATTGAAACAGTTTGCTTTCCTCGAGGTGTATCTAAGTCGAAGTGTTTCTCTGAGCGTCGTAAGACACGGAAAGGGCCATCATAGATTGGTTGTAATGGTTTGCGTGATGCATCATGACGCACGAAGACGTGTGAGGCAGTCATCAACTCAAGGTGTAAAAATATATTTTTAGAAGAGTGGTGGACATCTCTGACTGGACGAATCGACCTCATGTGATCTTTTAACCTGCAGATCAATGTAGGAAAATTATTGGCAGAAGTAGTCTCATGGTCAGCGAGGAGATCAGAAGGCAGTGCAATGGGTTCGCCGTACGTAATCTCTGCTGCTGTAGTGTTATAATTGGGGATGACATAGGATCTTAGCCCCAAGAGGATGGTTGGGAGTTTAGCAACCCAATTATCGGTCAGCTGAGCTCTCAGCGAGGACTTGAGCTGACGATGCCACCGTTCAATTTTTCCGTTTGCGGCTGGGTGGTAAGCTGTTGTCTTAATGTGGTTAATTCCCAGGGCTTTGGTGAGGTCAGCAAAAAGTTGACATTCAAACTGGCGACCCCTGTCAGTGGTTATAACACGTGGTATGCCAAAGCGTGCAATCCATGTAGAAAGGATTACATTGGCTATAGTCTCAGCTGAAATGTCTGCCACCGGTATGGCTTCTGGCCAACGTGAAAATCTGTCTATGATTGTTACTAGATAAGTAAAACCTTGGCAAGATGGCAAGGGACCCACTATATCGACGTTGATGTGAAAAAAACGGCGATCGACTTGGCTGTAGGTCCCCACTGCACTGTTAGTGTGTCTTCCTACTTTGACTTTCTGACATGCGATGCAGGTTTTAGCCCACAACCTGACATCTTTCCTCATTGATGGCCAAACAAAGCGTTTGCTGACCAGATCCACTGAACCCCTCATTCCAGGATGTGCTAAACCATGTAGTGAGTCAAAAACTAGTCGGCGGAACTGTTCAGGTACATAAGGCCTGTGTTTACCGGTTGAGATATCGCATGTCACTTCAATTCCGTTTTCGAGGCGAACCTTTTCAAATTTCAGTGAACATGTTTGTGACTGTTGAAGTTGAGCAAGCTCTTTGTCCACAGCTTGTGTAGCGGCAATATCTTCCAGGGGTATTCCTGTTGGGAGAAAAATAGAGCTGATTCTTGAGCAGACATCTGCTGCTACGTTGTCCTTCCCTGGTATGTACCTGATATCTGTGGTAAATTGGCCTATGTAGTCTAAATGACGGAGTTGGCGAGGGGATGCCTTATCTGAACGCTGCTGGAATGCGTAGGTTAGGGGTTTATGATCGGTATATATTGTGAAATTCCTGCCTTCTAAGATGTGGCGGAAGTATCGCACGGCTGAATATGCCGCTAAGAGTTCACGGTCGTACGTGCTGTAGTTTGCCTGTGGTTTGGTTAGTGTCTTAGAAAAGAAGCCTAGAGGTTCGACAATGGAACTATTCTTCTGTTGAAGAGCTGCTCCTATAGCAAAGTCTGATGCATCCACCATCAGCATCATTGGAAGGTCAGTGGAGGGATGGGCCAAGAGGGTAGCACCTGCTAGTTCCTCTTTGAGTCGTTCAAAGGCTGCAATTGACTCTGGGGTCCATTGCACTTTACGTTTGTCTCTTTTCCTGGTGTCTTTGCACAAATCAAAGAGAGCTTGTTGCGTGCGTGCCGTGTTGGGCAGTGAACGTCTGTAAAAGTTGACTAGCCCTAGAAACTTTCTGAGCTGTTCTATGGTATCTGGGCGTGGAAAGTTTCGGATGGTTTGGACTCGCTCAGGCAGGGGTACAATTCCTGCTTGGGAGACTTGTAGCCCAGGAAAGAAACCTCCTGCACACCAAAAACACACTTTGACAGGTTGATGTTAATGGCGTGTCTGTGCAGCCTTGTGAACAGTGTTCTTAAATGAAACAAGTGCTCCTCCTCTGACTGAGATGCGACGAGAAGATCATCAAGGTACGAGTAGACAAAGTCTAATTCACGTAAAATATTGTGGATATATCTTTGAAATGACTGGGCAGCATTGCGTAGTCCAAATGGTAATTTTAAAAATTCAAATAAGCCAAAGGGTGTGATCACAGCCGTTTTTGGAACATCCTCTGGTGCCACAGGTATATGGTGGAATGCCCGCACCAGGTCTATTTTAGAAAAGATTGATTTGCCTCTAAGTTGGCAATTGAAATCTTGAAGGTGGGGTATCGGGTACCGGTCTGGTATTGTGATAGCGTTCAAGGCCCGATAGTCCCCACAAGGACGCCATGAACCGTCCTTCTTTGGAACAAGATGTAGAGGGCTGGACCAGCAACTTTTGGAAAGCCTGCATATTCCCATGTCTATCATCTGTTGGAATTCCAGCTTTGCCTGTGCAAGCTTATCAGGAGGGAGTCGTCTCGGCTTAGCAGTGACTGGAGCTCCTGTCATGACGATTGTATGGTAAACGTTATGGTCACTAACTTGTTGGTATGTAGGTTGTTCCTTCAAGAGGTTGGGAAACTCCGAAAGAAGCTTGGAATACTTCTGTTGGGGTGATACCATTAGCACAGTTTGCTGATTAGTGGCGGTGGTAGTTCCTGGGGTTGCCAAGTGAGTGAGATTATCTCTCAAGCACCTATTCTTTAAATCCACAAGAATGCCAAAGTGACTTAGAAAGTCTGCTCCTATAATAGGGTGTTGTACGTCCGCTAAGGTAAATGGCCAGCAAAACGTCCGTCAGAGTCCAATATCAAGTTTAAGGAGGCGCTCCCCATATGTAGGTATTACAGAGCCATTAGCTGCGTAAAGTTGACGATTACTGATATGTCGTTTTTCTAGGGTGGTGGGAGGTAAGACAGAGATGTCTGCCCCAGAGTCTACCAGGAATCTGCGACCAGTGGTAGTATCAAAAATAAATAAGCGATTGGATGTTTTCTCCCCGCCCCTCTGAGTAGCAGAGAGAGTGGGGCTTAGT